CTCAAAGAATAGGAAGAGAGGACTGGAGAGAGGGCTCAGCAGTTAAATGCACTTGCTGCTCTTGCAGAAGACGTGGGTTCAGTTCCCAGCACCCACCTAGAGGTTCACAACACCTGTAACTTGAGTTCCAGGGGCTATGATACCTTATTCTGGCCTCTAAAGGCACCTAGGCATGTATGGTGTACATACACTCATGCAGGTAAAACATTCATACACATAAAATTTAAAAAGTAAATCTAAAAGAAATTAAAAGTGAGGAAGCCATCTGATGTTAACCTCTGGCCTTTACATGCACCCACATGTCTCACTTCCTCTAAGAAAGTATGCTGGGTGAGCAAGACGGCATGGTGGGTAACTTGTTGCAGAGCCTGACAACATGAATCCAAGCCCTGGAATCCACAGAGTCCCCGCTATGTTGTCTTCTGGCCTCCACTTGAGTGTAACAGTATAATCCCACATGTGGGTGTGGACACACGGGACACAGAATAAATAGAAAGGAAAAGAGAAAGGCTGAAAGGAAGTGAGCTCACACAAAAGCATTTTCAGAGCTCTGAAGATAGGGTAATGCCTCTTGGTAAGAAGCCAGGCATAACAGAAATCTTTAATAAAAAAAAAAAAAGCCAGGCATGGGCCTGCACTATGGGAGTCTACTGAAGCAGCATACTGGTCGCCATGACCTTGACACTGTAGCAAAACACCTGCCTCACCAGAATATCCCTTCTTCTGTCTTCCTTTGCTCTTCCTTCCTTTCCTTTTCCTCCTTCTTTCATTTTCTTTCTAATCCATGTTTGTATGGTTTGTCAAGACGGTTTCTCTGTGAAGCCCTGGCTGTTCTGGAACTCACTCTATAGATCAGGCTGACTTCAAACTTAAGGATCCGCCTGCCTCTGCCTCCTGAGTGCTGGGATTAAAGGTGTGAGCCTCCACCACAATGCTCTTCTGCTAAGGAAAAGTCATACCTCCAACTCAGGAGCTTCTGTATTGCTATCTGGGCAGTATGACGGCCAGAGAGTTTAGGAAAGGAAAGATCTAGGTATTGAAGGCAATCAAGTTTACCTAGAGGCTCCTCACCGCCTTTTTCTCTTCTCTGTAACTCCCTCAGTTTCTAGCAGTCCTAAATTCCAGGGCTGCCACAGGAAAGCCCGGAAGTAAGAACACTAATGGCTGCTTGCTTGCGGTTTGGCTCCCTTGTTCCCCCAGCAGGGACTCCCTGGCTGAGTCCTTGCCCTAGCAGCACTAGGTGCCAGTTTTCTTTTTCTCTGAGCACTGGTTGGACCAGTAAAACTGGTCTTGCTTTCCCTAAATTTTAAAAAAATAATCTGGCAGGCAACTACTGGAGGCCTTCCAACCCTCTACTTGGGCCAAACCTCATAATAAGAAAAATACTACTTTCTATCTGCTTCATTTAAGAGGCTCTACTTTTTTTTTTTTTTTGGTGGTTAACTAAATTTCATCTTCCATAACTATCATAAATTTTATAGAAATTTCCTCAATTGTGCCTGCAACAGTGGAAGGTGTGAGTGAATGTGTATGCATTTTTGGTCTCCAGGGCAGTGACCAGGAGGCTCTAGGGCTTGCTTTCCAGTTCACGGTGCTTACTCTCCCCATATTCCCACTCTCCTCCTACTTCTGGAAATGAAACACAGAGCCTCACACACCACAGGCATGCACTCTACCCCTGAACCGCATTCTCAGCCCTCTAGTTACTTACATTTAAAAAAAAAAAAGATTTATTTTATTATTTTGTGTGTTTTATGAGCATGTATGTCTATGCACCACATGTGTGTCTGGTGTCCAAGGAGGTAGTGAACCTCCATGTGAGTGCTAAGAAGCAAGCCCGGTCCTTTGCCAACAACAAGTGCTCTTAACCACTAACCAGGCTCTGCAGATGAGAAAACAGAACTTCACCACCACCCAAGAAAGCTTCACATTGCCCCTTTCCAGAGAGAGCACGAGCTCATGGCTTACAGCCACAGATTCCCTCCTTACTTTCTCTTTTAGAACTTGTATCCTAAAGATTTATTCAAGTGTATAGGTGTTTTACCTGTATGTACGTCTATGTACGTACCACAGGTGTTCCTGGTGCTTGTGGGAATGAGAAGCCATTAGATCCTCTGGAGCTGGAGTTACAGATGTCTATGACCTGGCACATGAGTCCTGAAAACTGAAGTCAGGTCCCCAGGAAAAGCAGCCAAGCTCCTAACTAAGGAGCTAAGCCATCTTTTCAGAAACACTTTTTTTTTTTTTTTTTTTTTTGTTAAAGTAGATAAGTAGATTGGGGTGATGAGAAACTAGGTAGAATATGTTACCAGTAAAATCAAAGTAAGCCCAGAGTTCTTGCCTTCGAAGCTTTGGCCTAAGGACCCAAAAGTTCATGTTTTGTCTGAATTCAAAACATTTAGGGGCTGGAGAGATGGCTCAGTGGTTAAGAGCATTGCCTGCTCTTCCAAAGGTCCTGAGTTCAATTCCCAGCAACCACATGGTGGCTCACAACCATCTGTAATGAGGTCTGGTGCCCTCTTCTGGCCTGCAGGCATACACACAGATAGAATACTGTATACATAATAAATAAATAAATATTAAAAAAAAACATTTATTAGGGGTTCTAGTCATACACAAATCCAGGTAGCAAACACTGCCCCCCAAGCGCCCCACTGTTTCTCTGTGCATCCTTGACTGTCCTGGAACCCAGAGATCCGCCTGCATCTGCCTCCAGAGTGCTGGGATTAAAGGCGAGAGGCACCACACCCAGCCCCAAACACTGTTCTCTTACATGAACAAAATGAAGACTGAGGGCTGGAGAGATGGCTCAGTGGTTAAGAGCACTGGCTGCTCTTCCAAAGGTCCTGAGTTCAACTCCCAGCAACCACATGGTGGCTCACAACCATCCAAGATGAGATCTAATGCCCTCTTCCAGCCTGCAGGCATATACAACACTGTATACATAATAAATAAATATTTTAAAAAAATTGAAGACTGAAATGAACAAAAATGAAGACTGAACATGACATGCTCACGCTGCCACAGCCTCCTTTCTCCATCCGTCCTGTGCACAGGATAAACTCTACTCATAGGGCTGGAGTGTCTGGCCTCCCTATCTCTGGCGGGAAAAGACAACCCTGAACTGCCTGTATCTTACAGACGGGGGAGGAGGCTTCTAATGTAAAGGATAAAGGAAAACCAAGGATCAGAGGGAGAACCACAGTGGCGCTGTCTCAGATGGCCAGTCTTCCGTTCCTCTAAGGCAATGGTTTTCAACACATGGGCCCAAAGACCCTTTCACATAGCAGATATCTTACATATCAGACATTTACATTATGATTCTTAACAGTATCAAAATTACAGTTATAAGGTAGAAACGAAAATAATTTAACTGTGTGGGGGCGGTCACCACAACACGAGAAATGATATTAAAACAATGGCAACACTAGGAAGGTTGAGAACCACTGCTCTAAGGGGCTTTCCCGGTTGCTGGTGAGGACAGACCAGTCACTCAGTGATGGTACAGGAAGACCTGGGTACTCTGGGAAATAAGCTGGAGACCACATGAGCATGTGAGGTGACTTTGTTTTACGTTATCCTGACGGCACTTTGTCTGCCACAGACTTTATTACAAAGTTCTCCTCAATGACTCTAAAAGCCAAGTTCCCTCAGGCCAACACCCTTGTGAAGATTCTTTGTCCTATGACAGCAAAGGCAGTGTCTACAGAGAGCTCTCATTTTTTTGTCACAGGACAAAATAGTCATCATAAGGTCTCAACACATGTAGGACAGAGTGAACACAGTACTTGAGGACATGACTACAGCATGCTATGAGATGTGGGGAAAAGCCCTCTCCCTCCATGGTCCCAGGCGGAGATGGGTAACGGGACAAAGCTGAGCATGAGCAGGGGAAGGCTAAAGAAACAGAACAGGAACAGGGCTGTCACAGAGAAAAGGAAAGGCTGTCTGGGAAGAAAGACAGGGCCACAGCCTGCCTTGGAGCTGACCTTCAGGAATATCCAGGTCTTCAGGCTGCATGTACCAAGACATACAACATGCCATCCTTTGGCCAGCAAGTTCTTTTTTTTTTTTTTTTTTTTTTTTGGTTTTTTTGAGACAGGGTTTCTCTGTGGCTTTGGAGCCTGTCCTGGAACTAGCTCTTGTAGACCAGGCTGGTCTCGAACTCACAGAGATCCGCCTGCCTCTGCCTCCCGAGTGCTGGGATTAAAGGCGTGCGCCACCACCGCCCGGCTGGCCAGCAAGTTCTTATAAGAACAAAATCTTGTTGGAAAAATCTAAAACTGACAAACTATAATGGGGTGTGTGTGTGATAAAATAGAACCCAGGGCCTTGTGCATGCCTGGCAACCATTCTACCACTGAGCTATAGCTCTAGTCCTTGAGATTTTTGAGGAGAAACACAATCCTCAAAAAATGCTGAGAGCATTCTATAGTGGTATATTATTTGTGTTTTAATAAATAGAGCTTACTTGAAGATCAGAGTGTAAAGCAGCCACACTAGCCTAGCAGTGGTGGCACACACCTTCAAATCCAGCAGCCGCACTAGATAGCCACAGAAACTGGGCAGTGGTGGTGCACGCCTTTAATCCCAGCACTAGAGAAGAATATGAAATGGGAGGAACCAGCTCTTACACTCAGTCTCATTCTGAAGATTCACGGAGGCAGGGTCGCCCATTTCAGTGTGAGGTAGAGGTAAGAGCCAGTGGCTGGCCGCTCTGCTTTTCTGTTCTTTAGCTTGAACCCCAATATCTGTCTCTGGGTTTTTATTATTCATGCTACATCTGCTTTCTCACCACTACATCCCTGAGGGACCTGGCTTCCTGGGCCACTCCTCAGCACCCCAACTTACAACCAAGGCTCCTGAAACAGCAGGTTCCCCACTACCACACAGATATCCAGGCTGAAAGAAAACTATAAAGTCCCCTCACCTGGAGGCTATGCCCCCTACTATTCAACTTATCTTGACATCAGGAAGCAGACTAGATAGACAACCCTTACCATTGTAGGAGAGGCGAGGCTTGCTCAGACACATTATAAAGTGCATTTCCATCTCATCAGAAGCCACAGACTTGGAGCAAATGGGGCACTTGAAACCTGAAAGAGAGGGAAAACAGCATGAAGTATCTTCTCCAAATCCAGATATCCATAGTCCGTGTGGACATGCTCAACCACAGCAACTGTGTGGGGTCAGTGCTCTGGACAGAGCCAAAACCAATTTTTCCTTCACTAATTCCTGAGATTTTTTTTTTCCCTTTTTAAAATTTTATTGATATTTATTGAACTCTACATTTTTCTCTGCTCCCTCCCTGCCTCTCCCCTTCCCCCATTCAAGCTTCCCCCAAGGTTCCCAATTTACTCAGGAGATCTTGTCTTTTTCTACTTTCTACTTCCCGTGTAGATTAGATCTATGTGAGTCTCTCTTAGTGTCTTCATTGTTGTCTAAGTTCTCTGGGATTGTGGTTTGTAGGCTGGCTTTCTTTGCTGTATGTTTAAAAACCACACTAGCCTGGCAGTGGTGGCACACAGCTTTAATCCCAGCAGCCACACTAGATAGCCACAGAAACTGGGCAGTGGTGGTGCACGCCTTTAATTAGGAAGGTTGTTTCCTAATTTTCTGAGAAATCGCCACACTGACATCCAAAGGGGCTGTACCAGCTTGCATTCCCACCAGCAATGCAGAAGTATTCCCTTTTCCCCACAACCTCCCCAGCATAAGTTGTCATCAGTGTTTTTGATCTTGGCTATTCTTTCAGTTGTAAAATGGAATCTCAGAGTTGTTTTGGTTTGCATTTCTCTGATGACTAAGGTTGTTGAACATTTCCTTAAGTGTCTTTCAGCCATTTTAGATTCCTCTGTTGAGAGTTCTCTGTTTAGGTCTGTACTCCATTTTTTTATTGGATTACGTGATCTTTTGGTGTCCAATTTCTTGAGTTCTTTGTATATTTTGGAGATCAGACCTCTGTCTGATGTGGGGTTAGTGATGATCTTTTCCCATTCTGTAGGCTGTTGTTTTGTCTTGTTGACCATGTCCTTTGCTTTACAGAAGCTTTTCGGTTTCAGGAGGTCTCATTTATTAATTGTTTCTCTCAGTGTCTGTGCTGCTGGGGTTCTATTTAGGAAGTGGTTTCTTACTTTCTCTTATATAAGGTTTAGTGTGGCTGGCTTTATGCTGAGAGGCCTTTGATCCATTTGGACTTGAGTTTTGTGCATGGTGATAGATATGGGTCTATTTTCATTCTTCTACAGATTGATATCCAGTTATGTCAGCACCAGTTGTTAAATATGCTTTTTTTTTTGCATTTGATATTTTTTGCTTCTTTATCAAAGATCGGGTACTTGAAGATGTGTGGATTGATATCTGGGTCTTCTATTCGGTTCCATTGGTCCTCCTGTCTGTTCTTATGCCAATACTAGGCTGTTTTCAGTACTGTAGCTCTGTAGTAGAGTTTGAAGTCAGGGATTGTGATGCTCTCCAGACGTTCTTTTATTGTACAGGATTGTTTTGGCTATCCTGGGTTTTTTGCTTTTCCATATGAAGTTGAGTACCGTTCTTTCGAGGTCTTTGAAGAATTTTGCTAGGATTTTGATGGATATTGTGTTCAATCTGTAGTCCCTGAGATTTTTCCTTTCCCCATAGCCTTCAACTTTCACTAGGGTTCTTTTTCTACCACACAGCATTTAGCAGAGCTTCCTGACTTGAGTTTGATATTCTTTTAGACGTTTTCCAATGAGGCCTAGCAGACAAGGTCAGGGAAGCAACCAGCGAACGCAGCTGAATAATTCTTAAATAAGAGAGCTTCCCATCCTGCCATTGTCACTGCTGTCGCCTGTACCTCCATTCCTCCGGTCACCTGCTTTTGGGGAGCACCTTCACCCCTCACTAAAGAGTCCTTGGCCTCCCTTGAAACGAAGGCAGCTATGTCCTTTACCAATATGTGAGCAGGTGGGGGAAGGGGGTGCAGCTCTTCAACATGGTCCTAAACACTACTAAATAAAGCAGCTGCTCTCAATGCAGATGAACACAGGGCACTGTAATCTGCTATTTCATTCTTAGGCAATCTGGACTGTTATACACCAAAGGGTTTCCTCAGCACTCTAAAAGTACTGGTAAATTCTGGCTGAGAATCTTCTCAGTGGGCTGGAGGAATGGCCCATCCATTAAAAGCTAGGTTCACAACTAAAAATATAAGAGAATCTTCTGAGATAAACGACAATTAAGCAAAGCTAACTCCCCCTCCCACATCCACAGTTTATTCTCCGCCCCTAGCATGTTAATGCACTGATGAATATGCCCAGTAGTAAGACAGATGAACTGTTATTATATCAGTATTTTCTATTTTATATTATTGAACAATTTCAAAGAGATCAATTCTTTGAATGCAAATTCTACCACAGAACCACCAACTTTGAAAAGTTATTGATTTGTCTGCATCCATTTGTATATATCACAAATACCATAGGCTATCAAAGCTTCTTTCTTTGGTAACAATGACTATGTTTTTATGGGTCCCCCCGCCCCCAGCCAGGGTTTCTCTGTGTAGCTCTGTAGACCAGGCTGGCCTTGAACTCACAGAGATCCACCTACCTCTCTGTCCCCAGTGCTGGGATTAAAGGCGTGTCCTACCCCTGCCCAGCTGTAATAATGACTCTTACCTGGCCTGAATGTGCCAACACAACATAATACATCTAATCACTGTTGCAGATCTCGCTCTTCCATTAGTTTTCAGTTAGAATTACCATGGTTTGATGTTGATAAAGACCATCTACAATATTTACTTTTGAAATTTTGTATGTGTTTTGCTTGTATATATGTATGACTGGTCCACAGGGGTCAGAAGAGGGCATCTGATTCCCTGGAACTGAAGTTACAGATGGTTGTGAGCTACCATATGGGTTTTGGGAACCAAACCTGGTCTTCTGCAAGAGCAGCCAGTGCTATTAAACCACTAAGCCTACTCCCAATACCTTGCCTTTTTTTGAGACAGGGCCTCACTGTAGTCCCGGCTCATGTGGAACTTGCTATGTAGACCAGGCTGGCCTTGAACTCACAGATCTGCCTGCCTCTGTCTCCCCTGAAACATTATTAAAGAAACAGCTAAAGGGCCAAGCATTTAAACACGCAGCCGTGAATCCCAAGATAGAGGAGTTCACACCTTCCCCAGCGTTCCTCACATGATGCCTTGCTAATCTGTATGGAAAGCTGTGACTAGGGTGAAGTGGCACGGAAACAGGAAACAAGTCATACAGGTACTTACTTGAAATCTTCAAATATTTTCCTCAGTGATAATGCAAAAAGCCAGGTAGTGGTGGTGCACATACCTTTAATCCCAGCACTGAGGAGACAGAGGTAGGTGGATCTCTCTGAATAAAGAAGTCAGCTTGATCTACAGAGCAAGTTCCAGGACTAGAGAGAAACTCTGTCTCCACCCCCCTTCCCCGAAAAAGAAAAAAAAAAAAGCCATGTGCCATCACAGGCAGTAGTGACAATGTTCAGGACTAAACAGGAGACGAGGCACTCAGCTAACTACAGCTGATGTGAAGTCCATGGCATAGGCCCTACTCTCTAAAAATTCTCAGTATCTAAACACCTCACCTGAGGTCTTAGAAACAGTACAATATCTGACCTCTGCACAGTTACAAGTCCATAAGTAACAAAACCCAGAAGATCATTAGAAGCTTGAGATAGGAGTTTTTCTAGCAGAAGTAGGCTGCTTTTGTTGCTTTTTCGAGACAGGATTTCTCTGTGTAACAGTCCTGGCTGCCCTGGAACTCGCTGTGTAGTCCAGGCTGGCCTTCCAAGTGCTGGGATTACACATGTGCCACCACCGCCCGGCATCAGGCTGCTTGTTAAACCAGATTAGAAACGTGCAGATCCAGTGTCATACGCAATGGAGAGATGGGAATAAACCTGAGTCTCAGAATAAAGACACTCATTGCCAGCCTAAGCTCTTGTGTGTTTACAAAAGATTTTCTGATGCTTCCAACTCAAAAGAGCAAGGTTTCTTAAGAATTCCAATGGCCCAGAGAATACTTGTTTGCTGCACTCCCTGCTACCACTGTGTGCAGGCTGAGGGATGGGGCTATAGTGGCATGGAAGGAGGAGCTCCAGAGCGGCCTCCCAACTGCAGCCTGAGCACGGACACAGAGTATGCAAGGATCTGTTACTAGACAAAGTTTGCACTTTCCATGCCGTATTCCCCCAGCATTTCTGAGAAGAATCAGGTGATGCCTGAAACAGCATCACAACAGTCCTGTATCTGAGTGAGATCTGAAAGAAGGAGAAGGGGTGAAGTTATCACTGAGATATTGGCAAGCAGGACACTCAGCAACAGACGAAAGGCTGAGACTCTTGGGTTTAGAGCAATCTCTTCATTATACTGAAGAGGGAACAGGCCCCAGAAAGGCCTTGGAGCAAGCACTGTGAGCTCACAGTAGAGCTGAGATTACACTGGGTCTTCTTAGGTCTCAGTCCAAAGTTCTTTCCATCAGGAAAGAAAAACTGGCCATGGGATTTTGAGAAAGAGGTGAGGTAGGAACCATGAAGAGTAGTGTGGTGGGGAGAATCGTGTCTTCACTAAAGTAGTCCGTGCCTCTCAGTGTTTTTGTTTTATTTTACAAGTTCCATGAAGTAATTAGGGACTATTTTTATGCAAGCAGAGAATGACAAGATGACAAGGGTTTTCTAGACTCATGACCTTGGCAAGTAATACATCCCTCACTGGCCCCCAGTTTTACTAGTGGGAAAAAATGGAGGAATTCATCTCATGTTTGCAAAGACTGAACGAGATAACATCATCATCAGGCCTAGAGCAATAAATGATGAGGAAAGAAGAGAGGGCTAGTTAGACCAAGACTAAGTAGATGCACTCAGAGACAAGAAGGGCACAGCCACACAGATTCTGCTGGGTTCCACCACTGGACCTTTCCATCCTTCCAACGTGGGAACGAGTCTCCCCAAGCAATATAATAGGTAAATGGTATTCTGCCCTTACTGAGTCATTGCTAAGGACGGCCACTGTGCTTTACACAGCTTCTTATTTATCATACAGTGTGAGTACTACCAGCAGGCAGGTACTATATTAACTCTATTTCAT